AAAAAGAAAAAGAAAAACAGAGAGGAAGTGAAATGAGAAAGTGGGAATCTGGGAAGGTGCTGGCACTACTGAGGGGCAAGGTGAAGGGACACAGAGGAGAAGGCCGTGGCAGGGGCAGCAGGGAGGCAGGGCTGGGAGTAGAGGGTGGAGCTGAGGAACAAAGTCACACACAGGCACAGAGGGCAGAGGTCACAGGACATGGTGGCCTGGAGGAGCTCAAAGGGACCAGCTGGGATGTGTGACCACAAGAGAAGAGGAGAGGTAGGAGGGGGAGAAGGAAGGAGACCACATAGCAGCAGTGGGTCAAATGCCACAGAGAAGTCAGGGACTGGCCCCGGCCTGGGGAGGGGATGGGGGATGTGAAAGGGAGAGGCTGGGAGGCTGGCAGGAAGTGAGAACCATGATGTGCCCACTTCCCACCAAGTTGCCCGGGTCTCCCTGCTCTGCTCCTGCAGTCTGCCCTGCTCCTGTGCCCTGCCCGTCTAGCCTGGCATCCTTCATGGGAAGTGAAGGGCACTAGGTGGGGTGACGAATGGGCAAAGAGAGCAAAGGAGAGGGCTGAGGGGCTGGGTGTGGTAGCTCACGCCTATAATCCCACCACTTTGGGAGACTGAGACAGATAATCCATTGAGTCCCGGAGTTCAAGACCAGCCGGGGCAACATAGCAAGACCCCATCTCTACAAAAAATACAAAAATTATCCAGGCATGATGGTGCACATCTGTAGTCCCAGCTACCCGGGAGCCTGTGGTGCGATGGGAGAATTGCTTGAGCCCAGGAGGTAGAGGCTGCACAGAGCTATGATCGAACCACTGCACTCCAGCCTGGGTGACAGAGTGAGACCCTGTCTCAAAACTTTTTTTGTTTGTTTTTTTGTTTGTTTTTTTGTTTTGTTTGTTTCTTTTTTGAGACAGAGTTATCCAGGTTGGAGTGTAGTGGCAAAATATCAGCTCACTGCAACCTCCGCATCCTGGGCTCAAGTGATCCTCCCACCTCAGCCTCCAGAGTAGCCAGGACCACAGACACATGTCACCACTCTTGTCTAATTTTTCTATTTTTTGTAGAGATGGGGGTCTCGCTATGTTGCCCAGGCTGGTCTTGAACTCCTGGCCTCAAGCAGTCCTCCCATCTCGGCCTCCCAAAGTACTGGGATTACAGGTTGAGCCATTGCGTCTGGCCCCACTGATCTTTTACTGTCCTCATAGTTTTGCCTTTTCCAGAATATCCTATAGTTGGAATCAGACAGTATATAGCCTTTTCAGATTGCCTTTTTTTTTTTTTTTT